CCACCGCCGAGAGAAAGGGTAGCAGAGAGCTCCAACCAAACAGAGCAAGAGGCGGATATACTTTTACTGACAGCGCGCTCCACCAATCAGAATACAGGAAGCCGGTGCAGCCCTGCGACTGCAACAAATCACGCGTGAGTATTAATCTGAGGACAGATTCAAGGTCGGTTGGAGAGTAGCAATACGCGCATATGCTGCTTGGTGAGAAGCAAGAAGTGGCGTGTACGGTTTTTACCAGAGCAGGGAAGGAGTGGATCAACCGGTTTACACGTGCAATCTGTCACAATAATCACTACAGAGAGAAATTATCGACAATCTACAATAATGCATCGATATCACCATCCAATCGTGTATTAAAACTCACAAACTACCGCATGTATGAGATTATTTTGCAGGATCAATTCTCCCTTCAGTCTCTACGTCGCAGCAGCGCAAAGCCACACTGCATGATGGTCTTCCTCCTCCACTACAGAATCAATGACACGTTTTGCACGTTGCCCCCTTTGCAGCATATTGTCATTTTGAACTGAATACAGAAATTAATTAAAAAGATTCCTCATTAAAAACAAATGTTTTATTCTCGACAGAAAGATTGGGGCTTGATATGCCCTTGCCGGGGCTGCAGGTTTATAATCCTGAGCTGTCCTGTCTGCAGGCCTTGTAATCATACGGGTGAGTGACCCTGCCATCTGTAGGCCACTTGTTTGTAAACACTGTCTGTGCGGAAGTGGTGTGTGCGCGCGCGCGCAAGCAGACATCAGATGATAACAGCCATGGCGAGTAAAGAGTAAAGTAATGATCACGCGCTAACTGATTGGTTTCATTGAATGCAGCATGAATGCAAAACCAAGGTTAGTCAACATCAAAATAATATATTTATTTCATGAAACATTCTAGTTTGTAGGTCAGAAAACATTTCCACATAGAGAACTAAAAGAGTAACATGGTCTGAATCCTTATTGAGGCAAAACATAACTCAAAGAAAGGGGAAAGCCTTATGTGTGTCAAAAGCTTTTATTTAATATATTAATATAGCAATTTGATACACACGATTTATGTGACATACTTTGCCACTTAAAACAAAAATATGAGTCCCTTTCCCTTTATAGTTATACATTAAATTGTCCTCAATTATAAAGCTATATGATCAGTTATTTGTCACAAAAAGTGATCATAAAAATATCAAAAACGGCTTGCTTTTGCCTGTTTTTGATATTGTTAATTAATTAATAATATTGTTATCATTATTATATTTCTGAAGTTTGTTCAGACAAGCATCTGAAGAAATAGCTTTTGGAGTTCTCACAACTTTTTCACATTTCATAAAATAAGAGAATAACTGATCAATCGTGGAAAATAATTACGGATTGGTGATTGGTTACAAATATTCTTTGTTATTACCCCACATTTTATTATTGCATTAAGTTAAAATACAGAATTAATTTGTACAACTGCAAAGATATGAAAACATACTACTTCAATGATGCCCATCAATTATTTGGCCTACATATGAAATCAATTAAATTAAGTATTTTATTTTAGAAGATTATATCTAGGCTACTAATCATAGTATGGTTGAAGGGCATCATTCACCTCTAACTTTTCTCCACTGGAGGGAGACATGCACCGCCACAATCCTCCAAAGATGACATCACAAAATCGCCAGCCATTTTAAGCTTTTAAGCTGAGGTAGTGTGCACAAGCAGAATAATGAACATCATCACTTCATCACATGCCTAAAGACAGATGTATGTGCCCACAGCCACGTGTAGGCCTACCAGTATTTATCTGCTTATTATGAAAAGCATTTGAAAGGTGAATACTATCAATACAAGTTCCCTAATGAGACATATCCTTATCTGAGAATACATTCACACACCTCAGATGTATTACTGATTTTGATGGCAGTTCTTGTATTAAAAATCTCTGGTAATCATTCATATACCGATGGCAGAACTTTTAACACATGATAGCATATCATATCGTAACCCTGCTGTTGTCTCACCTACCAATTTAACATGATAGAATATCATAGGTACTCGAAAAGAGGGTCAGGCCGATTGTCGAACCTCAGATTGAGGAGGAACAATGCGGATTCCGTCCTGGTCGTGGAACGACGGATCAGCTTTTTACTCTCGCAAGGATCCTGGAGGGGGCCTGGGAGTACGCTTATCCGGTCTACATGTGTTTTGTAGACTTGGAGAAGGCGTATGACCGAGTTCCCAGGGAGTTACTGTGGGAGGTGCTGCGGGAGTATGGGGTGAGGGGGTCTCTACTCAGGGCCATCCAATCTCTGTACTCCCAAAGCGAGAGCTGTGTCTGGGTCCTCTGCAGTTTCCGGTGAGGGTTGGCCTCCGCCAGGGCTGCAATTTGTCACCAATCCTGTTTGTAATATACATGGATCGGATTTCGAGGCGTAGTCGTGGGGGAGGGGGTCTGCAGTTCGGTGGACTAAGGATTGCACCACTGCTTTTTGCAGATGATGTGGTTCTAATGGCTTCATCGGTCTGCGACCTTCAGCACTCACTGGACCGGTTCGCAACCGAGTGTGAAGCGGCTGGGATGAGGATCAGCACCTCCAAATCTGAGGCCATGGTTCTCAGCAGGAAACCGATGGACTGTCCACTCTAAGTAGGGAATGAGTCCTTACCCCAAGTGAAGGAGTTCAAGTATCTCGGGGTCTTGTTCTCGAGTGAGGGAACAATGGAGCGTGAGATGGGCCGGAGAATCGGAGCAGCGGGAGCGGTACTGCAGTCGCTTTACCGCACCGTTGTGACGAAAAGGGAGCTGAGCCAGAAGGCCAAGCTCTCTGTCTACCGGGCCATTTTCGTTCCTACCCTCACCTATGGTCATGAAGGATGGATCATGACCGAAAGAACGAGATTGCGGATACAAGCGGTCGAGATGGGTTTTCTCCGCAGGGTGGCTGGTGTCTCCCTTAGGGATAAGGTGAGAAGTTCAGTCATCCGGGAGGGACTCGGAGTTGAACTGCTCCTCCTTCGCGTCAAAAGGAGCCAGTTGAGGTGGTTCAGGCACCTAGTAAGGATGCCACCTGGGCGCCTCCCTAGGGAGGTGTTCCAGGCACGTCCAGCTGGGAAGAGACCAAGGGGTAGACCTAGGACCAGGTGGAGGGATTATATCTCTTCGCTGGCCTGGGAGCGCCTTGGGATCCCCCAGTCAGAGCTGGTTGATGTGGCCAGGGAAAAGATAGTTTGGGGCTCTCTGCTGGAACTGCTACCCCCGCGACCCGACCACGGATAAGCGGAAGAAGATGGATGAATATCATAGTACAATGTCACACATCGTGTGAATACAATTTATGGGTTCCATTATCCTTCATGGATCATATCTGTAAAAGTGTAGGAGTATTATGCAAATATCCTTGTAATTTGTTGTGTCTTATCTTGCATCTTTTTTATTTATTGCTTTTTAGCCCTGCTTTTTTCAAAACTTGAGCTTCTTTAATAAGTACTTAAATCATTTTTTTTCAAACTATTATCTTATCTCATCTCTTCTTATCTCTTGTATCAAGATTAATAAATAAAGCCACATCTAAAATATTAAAACTTAAAACATTTATAAGTGTTTCTTATTATACTTCCTGTGTAGCCTACTGGTGGTTTTTCCACAGCTAATGGGAATCAACTATTAGCTAAAGCTCTTTAAAACCACAGGATTAGGAGTCATGACGTATGTTTTCTCAGCATTGCCGACAAAATGCTTCATCATGCTGTGTTATTTGATTAAGGCTGTAACCAACCAGGAAGTGTGTCTGAGCCTCATGCTCTTGTAAAGTAGAGCCTCTCATATGCCATGTATATCACTGAGATGCTATTGTGCACTGACAAGTACAGTTGTGATTAAGATTATAATGAGATATATACCATCAAGACAACTTGGGAATTTCAGCACAACGGAGAAGGCGGCGCCCCGCGGGGGAGGAGGGGCTGAGCAGCAGGGTTTCCATCTCTTTGCAGTGAGAGAGCCCCATTACGCCTCTCCTCCATTTCCTCTCTCAGGGGCAGGAACCAAATGGACACATTAATAACACTCTCCATGTCTGAGGGGGCTAATGGTGCCTTGAGTGCTGATTAAGCCTGGGAAGAATTGGGCGTGGAAGGGAGGTATTAGTTTCATTCTTCTCAATGGCTGTTGTGGTGAACAAACTGAAGCTCAGCTCGCACAGCTTTGGTTTTCTTTTGAGGGAAAACCTATTGCTAAATTACAGAACGCGCCAGTACAGTAGATACACACCTTAAACTCCAATGTTACACTATTCTTGCATCTATCTATCCAATAATTTTAGCAGACCTTTTTAACTGTTCATCCATTACTGTAGCTAACTTTGAGCTACATATTTCAACTATTTATTCATGACTTTTAGCTAACTATTACAATTGTTTATCCATAACTTTAAGCTAACATTTTCAACAGTTTAAGCATTAGTTCACAGATTTGTCAACTGTATACCAATACTTGTAGCTAACTTAAACTAACTATTTCAACAGTTTATGCATTATATAAGCTTATAATTTCACAGTTTATGCCTTATTTTAGCTAACTATTTATACAGTTTATGCAATAATTTTAACTAACTATTTCAACTGTTTATCAATTATTTTTAGCAGACTTTTTCATCTGTTTCCATTAGCCTTCTTTTAGCTTACTGTTTTCCAATCCTTTTGGCTAATTAAATGTATGACTTATGGATGCATTTTAACTACCTGAAGCATCTCTGCTTGCTTGCTAACAAGTTTTAACAAACATAAATGCAATATTAGGCCTGCAGGTGTTACAGCTGATGTTTACATTTGTGGATATATTATTGTAATGAAATAAAATACCCATGGTTTCAAATCTCTGCTAGTTGGCTTTGTGAATAATCATGATTCTGTAGGCTACTAAAGACTCAAATAACCCAGAGCAGAAACCTATAGTTCCTGTTTGGCCAGTTCTTATGGAGGTGCAGCCCAACAACACATAACAAAGGACACAACAAATGTCATTTTAGAGTATGTTTAGTCCCTAATTCCAAAAGCTTATACATCTAACATGAATGTGCAAAGATATGTTGAAATATAAATATCAAATCATAATGTACATGATAACAACATAAATAAGGCATACAGTTTCCCACATTTTTAAAAGTTTCCTTCCAATGAAAGTGCTGAGAAATACATTTTCCACTCCAACAAAGTCCAGGAATCAATGCTGTCCACACACAACATGACAAGTTGTTTTACCCTGAAGTCGTAAGGGTGGAAAAGAGTTATTTTTATCTCCTGGGATTAGTCAAATGTGTTCCTGGTCGTGCGCAGATTTGGTTTTATCACACATCCTTCAGGCAAAACTTCAAGGAGTGCCAGGCTCACAAATTCATGATTTTTGACGAAGCTTCTGCTTCAATCTGTCCCTTCAGTCCATTCCTCGTCATCGTGCTGCTGGGTTGAAGGAGTCCGGCTCGGCCAGCCCTGCTTCACACATACTGCCTCACAGTATGTCGTGTTTGGTCAGGTTGAGCTCCTCGTCAGACACCTTGATGTTCCCCATGTACCAGAATATCCAAAAAAATGTACTCATGAAGATCAGCAAAGGTCCGGACAGCACAAAAAAGTCCCAGAAACTCAAAGGTGCAAAGATCCCAACAAAGAAGAGGATAAGTCCGGCGACGTCCAAAATCACAGCAATGGACACGAAGACGCTGGTATACTTCCCCTCCTTCATTGTTGGGCCTTGAGAGACGGACAGGTGGATGTCGTCTGAACGTCTGACAGGAGTGAGAGCAAGTCTCTACACAAAAGAGCTTTCAAGATCATACTGTTTCAGCCTCAGCACACCTTACATTTCTATCATAGCACAAGACTTGTTGGGAAGACTGGTATGCAACCACAACAACTGGTTGAGTTGCTCATAAACATGAAAGCCTCTCGGTCCTTCATTGCTGCGCAGGGCCGACTTGTTTTGCTACTTCCATGTCATTAAGGTGACACCTCAACCAACCGTAAGCTGCATGGCAGATTTATGCACATATATTTCGCAATCAGCCGCCATTGAGCTTGTGTGTGCACAGCGATAAGCCTGCTATCATTAATTGAGGCCCCCCTCATCCTTTTTGTTCAGCTAATGACACTAAATTGATTTGGAGCCGCATCAGTGTGTTACATCTTTTATCTGATGGTTCAAAGCTCGCTCTTGACTTTACTCCTACTGAGTTCAGAGAGTGGAAAGAAACTTGCTCTTCATATTTAACTTGGGAGCAGCTCTGCAGGGTGGATGCACTTCATTCAAGCCTTCCCTCAATATTTGATAACCCACGGTTCGTGAGTGACAACAATAATGACACCTATTGTGAAGTGACTGTCACAATGAGGAAATGCACTTAATGGAAACTTCTCTATGAGCTGCTTGTTTGACATGACAGGCTGCCACAATTGTATCTCTGCAATGCGGATTTAACCTCCTGCCCATAGCTGGTGTACACAGCACCGATGGGTTTTATTTACTGCAACATCACACGTTTCAAGTGTGTCAGGCTGTCAGTCATGCTAACTAACTCTGTATGTGGTAAAGGCTGCTTCAGGTTAAATAAACAAATACCTGGCACGGCCGGGACATTTGCATAAGGTGTGCTATCATTTGGACTACAATTTGTGTCTCCTATTGCCACATTTGCTTTAGTAGATACCGTTTGTTCCTCAGGGTCCCAGGTCATATGATCCTCTGTCCGGAATGCTCAGGTTTGTTTAAACAACACAACACCATTGAGACAAAACCAGTCCGACCAGTGCACGTTGCTTTGACAGCAAGCCAAAGAGCAAACATGACTTGACTTTTCTTTGTCTCGTAGCAGCAACAACTTGTTTAAAATAGGTGAAATGTTTTGGAACATGTGGGAAAGAATTTGAATTAAAAAAAAACTGACACGTCAGCTTGTTAGACTAACACAACAGCCTTTCGGAGGAGGCACACTATTTTTGGATTCAATATAAATTAGAATATATATTATTAGGATTTACTCCTAGACATAAAATAAGAAATACAAAACGAACTATCGATTATTAGTTTCATGTAGAATGGCTGACTACACAACATATTCATTTAAGAAATAGATTTGAACCTGGCACCCCTTTCAAATATGACACGGCTACAAGTTTAATGCCCTTAAGACCTTAATTGTTAAAGTTTATAATGTGCTTCCGTGTAAATACTATATATACTAACTAACAAGAGAAAGGTTGGAAATAGTTGAGACCTTAATGTTTGTGAATAAAGTGGACACATAATACAATTGAACCCTTCAAGTAAAACACAAATATGTTTTCAGGTCAACAATGATTAGTTTCTTGGAAAGACAATTTGTAATTAAATGGAAACTATGAGTTTTCTCAACCGTTTCATTTGAAAACCAAGTTGATTCATTTTTAGTGACTATATTAACTTAGTTCTTCATGTACTTTGAATTGTTTGCTTGCCTGTGGATCAATGTTCACATCTTGGCATATATATACAAATATTGACGTACAGTAGCTTTATTTTTAGTGCAAAACTAATCTTCCCCAGTAGCATTCTTTCCATGAAACGTACAGACATAGGCTGTACCATAAAGTGTTACTGAAAATAAAAGCAACAATATACCTTTTAAGTGCAATAACAAAGGGAGTGTTTCAGGGAGTACATTGAAGTTTCTTTGGATCTCCATATTTCTAATAAATCTTGAGTATGACTTTATCTCAATGCTTTCAGTTTTGGGCTGGGAAATAATAGCATTTTTAGCATCTTACGTGAAATAGTCCCTGCAGCAGATTTGTATATGAAGGTACCCAAGGCATATGTTCAGATGCTTGCTTCTTGTTGTTCTATTTCCACTTTCTTCTCCACAGCAGGGGAGTCTGGACTCTCTTCATAGCCCTCATTTTGGTAGGCTGTGGATCTGCCCCATGTCACCCGGCTGGCTTTGTGTGCAGGTAAGCTCTTCCCGCAGTCATCTTCCCCATCCACACATTTTACGCGTGGCTCCCCTTTCAGCGTCTGGCTCAACCTCTCGGATAGTTTCCTGGCCAGCTTCACTATACGGCTCCTCTTCTTCCACCCGTCGTCCTCCGACACCCGGATGTTCCCCACGTACCACATGAGCCAGAAGGCCAGGCTCACGAATGTGATCAGAGAGCCGGTGTAGATCAAGAAGTCGCCGTAAAATAGTCCGCTGCTGAGGCGCACGTTGGCGAATATGCCGACGAAAAGCAGAATCAGACCAAAAACATCGAATAATATGGCGATGAAGAATACAGGAATGCATCCTCCTATAACATTCCTTATCCGTTCCATGGTGGACACATCACAGCTGCTTCATAACGGGAGGATGCTTCAGGGTTTGTACCTGAGCTGAGTCAGCGCACCTGTAGAGAAACGCCCCACCTTTAGAGTGCAGATAAACACGGGCTTTTCCCAGGCTTATTCCCTGATGCACACACCCCTGAACACACACACACACACACACACACACACACACACACACACACACACACACACACACACACACACACACACACACACACACACACACACACACACACACACACACACACACACACACACACACACACACACACACACACACACACACACACACACACACACACACACACACACACACACACACACACACACACACACTCTTTCCATGAGGCAGGCTTATGGTTTCCTTGTCTTTCATTACAACACAGCAGGTTAAAGTCCACAATATATTGCTCCAGTTGACATAATGCAAAAGATGCAGGAACTTTACCATATCGTTTGACATTCAAATGAAGGTATCGTGACTCAGCCTTTTTCTAATTGTGAGGACTGTGTAAAGCCCTTTAGGCTATGATAGGCCATATAATAAATACAATGTTGCCATTTACTGTAAGACATGCTCTTGTACAAATAAAGCTAAATCAACATTTCTATGAAGCTTTATTACATTTCTGTGTGCCTCCAATATAATGGAGTGTTCAACAGAGACAGACATAGTAAAGGCTGTCTTTTACATAAAAAGATAATATGCATAAAATGTGGTTATTTTATATTTTGAAAAGACGCTTTATTGAAGAATTTGTGTCATTAGATTTGTCTTTTTTTGGTAAATCTGACCGTTATTTTTCTCGATTATACAACATGAAATGTCAGAAAAAATTCAAGTTTACATATAGAAAGGTTTTATTCCTGTCCAAAGTTCTTCAGTTTGATATCTTGAAATATCCTGAAAAGTGAGTTCTTGTTTGAGTATCATCGATCAGATCATTTTTACTGACCAATGATTCATTGATTAAAGTAGTTCCATTATTATTTATGTAAAAAACAAACCAATAAATGATCTCTGCTGGGGTTCTTACACCTCCAGAGTACGTTCACATGTGTGTCTGATGTCTAACATGTTTACATTTAACACACATATTTTATAGTTTAAGAGGCTGGGGGACTCAAATGTACTGCAGTGTACTGAATAGGGAATTCAATAACCAAAACGTATGTATATTAAGTAAAATAATATGGCATTCACTTTACAATATTACATTGATTAAATAATAAACATCATCATTTGAATTTAACATAATCTGAAGTAGTATTTCTTTAAAAATAAACAAGTTAACCACTGAAAACAATAGTAGTTCTATAAAGATAGTTGTCATAAGCACACACAACAAAAAAGTGCAAATGTACCATTTCGTGATTTAGCATGTTGATATCAAAAAGGTGAAAAGGTGTCTGTTCTTGTGTCAATTTTGCCACACATTAATGTATTTGTTATATCTGTATAAAACTGTATTTAAGGCCATTGGGCAAGAGCTGTAAACACTGGAATACATTCATGGCTTCTACAGATTAAGGCAAGTGCATTTTCTTACAATTTTAAGACATTTTTAATGCCATCCTGGATGAAATCGAAGACTAACTTCACAATAGAAAACAATTTTACCCAAATGTTAATGTTAGCATGTAATGCTATAGCTAACAGACAGGGCATCCGCAAACAACAAACAAATAACATTATTAGTGTTGTTGGTTCCTTTTTCCTGATCTGTGTGGCATAATGTTCGTGTCCACTAGATACAAGTTAGACAATATACATTCTCCATTTAATGATGCTGTGGTACTAAAGGATCTGCTAATGTTAAATTACATATTTTTTTGTAAAATGTAATGATTCAATACTATGTTATTTAGCAGTAGTACAATTCATGCCAATAAAGCTCAGTTGAATTGAAGATAAAGTAGTCCTGTGATCCCTTACATATTGATTAACACTATACTTTGAATGCCGATCTGCCTAATTGCTAGGCCAAAGTCTAAATTTAAGTGCATTTCCAATTGCACTGAATATTTCATGTCCACTTTGATGGAGGCCAAGTCTGAAGGGGTTAATACAAATGTCCTGCCACGTAATATTTAAATCCTAAGAAAATGTGCTTTCAGGTCACAGCAGTCAAATGTTCGTCCTTTACATATATTTGAAGATGAATGTGCGCAGATTCAAAGCCTCTGTTCCACAAAAAGGACTTCAGTGCATGCAACAAGACACAGGAAACCGGGAACTGACAATTATAAGCTCTCACAACCTTTAATTATTCATGAATTGGTCTAAACTCTACCACACAGCATTAGGAAATCCCCTCATGAAAATGCAATAGGACAATTTGCCTCCTCGCTAAATTGTGCTTGAATGATTGCATTTTCTACAGCACATTGTTGTCCTTGTGCTCTCACCTTCATTTTCCACGGCCATGGCTACTAATGCAAATGTTTTCATGCACACTTGAGATAAGTGCCCGTAAATCCTGGAGAAATAAAAAATAGTCTTTTTATAATAAGCTCCCATGCTGAACTTTAATCCAGCGTGCTCTTAAAGTGCCTCATGTTGATTATCCCCAAACATGATTTTGTTGATCACAGGTTATAAACCGGAGGCCTGTAGTAACTGAGGGGCTTCTTCATGGTCGCCTGCTTCCTGTTCTCCCTGGTGATGGGGATCAGAACCACACCCACAACAAAAACCATCATCCCGATGCTGAGCAGGGCCGGACCCAGGAAGTTAGTCACAGTCCTGCAGTGACCGGCGAAGTACAGGCTGCTGATGATGATGCCGCACGCCAGGAAGCTGCCCCCCGTCGACATGAGGTGGATGGAGAACCAGAACTCCTCACACTTGCTGTTGCGGGGGGTCTCTGTGGTCCAGATGGACTCACTGCGGGACAGGCTGAACACGGTGCTCTCTGTGCGGCTCGGGGGAGTCAGCTGGTCCCTGGACTGGGAGAGGGTGCACTCTCCCAGGGGGATGTTCTCTGGGCTGCCTGACATGGCCTCCTGGAAGACTCTGTTGAAGGAAAGAGTCAATCTGTTTAGGGGAGATGCAACTCTCTGAGGTCTAATGCATGACGTTATGACTAATACAGTGAAATCCCTTCTGTAAATACATTTTTTTATATCAACAGTGACAAAAAGTGCAGATCAGGAAGCCACTTTTGAACTGAAAATTATGTTAAATGACTTCAAAAATAAGCATTACATGTTAAAATGTTGACTTTATCCACATCAGCGTTATGGACTAACCCATTTCCTATCCAACTAAGTCAGGGTTGCACATTTTAGTTTAACATCCATTAAAATCCTGCTATTTCCACTGGACGAACAGAAGTAAACAACACCCACCTTTAAATCTGGATCAAGTTTCCTTGTTTGTATTTTTGAGGAATCAGCAATAAGTTTAAATCTCTTAACCATCGGAAAATATCCAGAGATCTCAAGGAGACAAATATTTTCCGCCCACCGTGCAACCAGTAAAATGCAGTGCTACAGATTCCCACTGAACAACCATCTACTCCCCCCCCACTCCCCCTCTTATGCTTTCTCCACCTCCTCAAGAGAATCCTGTGGCCATCATCCCCTTACCATCATCTACCATCGCTGGCGGTCACTCCTGATGCTGCATGCAGGGCAAGGAGCTTGCCTTCCACTCCCCAGAGGATATCCATATACCTCCAACCACTCATGATGATGCCTCCATTCTTTAAAAACGATTTCAAAAACTTCAGCTTGGGTGTCTTTTGTTTGAAAAAGCCTCAAAAGAACCAGACAATGAGAGAAAAAATATCTGCCTCAATAGGCTGGTACACACAAAAGAGGAGCAGGGCAGGGCAGCAGCTCGGAAATGACTGTCTGTAGAAGGATTGATGTAAGCAATCACCCATACACAGACTTTCCAACACAGCCTCCTATGTTGGTGCATTATTGATCACAAAGTACCCCCGAGCAATTATCTGCAAGTTGTAGTTTTGTCTGCTGAACATCAGATCAATGGTATCAGTGTAGCGTAATTAACCCTCAGAAAATGGAGGAAGTCAGGGAATCTTGGTCCAATTTAGGACCTTTGTGTCATCTTGTAATTCATCTTCCACAATGTCCTGCCTCGGATACACAGGGTTGAAAACAAGAGGGATGTTTCTGCAATATGACTCCTGCTTACAATAAGCAGCCCCTGATATTACATTTGTGTCTGTGTTGTCTTTTGGGAAGACACAAGTGTCAGTATGTCGCCATTGATCTGAACATGATATTGGCCTTTAACTCAATTACAGTCCACAGAGAGCAGCTGGGCTCTAATACGCCTCTCCTGCACGACTTGTACTGGTAAACACTGAAGTTCCTGCATGGAGTCATTACATTACTGCTGTTTGAAATGCACCACTGTACCATCCTGTGGTGCAACACTGATATGATGACTCCTGTCAACACATGCAATGAGAGGCTCAATCCAACAGAGGGCAGTACCAGCATGTGTTTTGGCATGAAGGCAAAACGATTAGTTGACTCATTAACTTTTATTGGAATGTTTCTTGGCAGGATTAGTTAATTAATCAGTTAATTCAGTATTTGAGTAATTACCATATGGCGCTAGTATATTCTGATGCACATTATGCATCAAAGTCTTTTTCTGCTTCCACATATGAGAAATTAATCAACCATTCCATGTAATGTGCTACAGTATCTTGCGATTATGATGTGCCTAATTCTCTTTAATGGTCCATTTAAGTGGGTTGTATCCCATTCGCTTGATCAAAGTCGTCTGAGGGCATTTCACACTGCTGAGTAAACCTGCTGGAGGATAAGATGAACTGTGTGTCGGACCAAGATTAGACATGATATATGTGGTAAAAGATTTAGAAACCCATTTTAGAAACATGTAATGCATGTAGAAGGTTTGATTGATATGAGGATTTAAAGAAATGTGGAGTCCATTTGTCAAAATTGGTCACTTGATGCACAGAAATGTATGTGAAAAGCCAAATATGTCTAAGATGGGCACTCAAATGCAGTATTGACAGTTACTTTTTTATGGTCTATCAAATTGATTTATTTTATTTTTGGGACTGTTTTTA